AGGTACAGACTAAGGAGAATGATAGCTGGATCAAATGGTGGTTCCATTCCAAGTTTTCCAAGGAATCTCCAAACTGCTTTCCATCCCACCGTCAAGGTATGAGTGTACCTTTCCCCCACATCCTCCCCAACACTTATTGTTGTTCATATGCATAATAGCTGCTATTCTGACTGGAGTGAGATGAAATCTTAGAATGGTTTTGATTTGCATTTCTCTAATTGCTAGAGATGATGAACATTTTTTCATATATTTGTTGATTGATTATATATCCTCTTCTGAAAAGTGTCTGTTCAGGTCCTTGGCCCATTTGTTGATTAGGTTATTAGTTTTTTTGGTGCTTAGCTTTTTGAGTTCTTTATATACCCTAGAGATTAGTGCTCTGTCTGATGTGTGAAGGATAAAGATTTGTTCCCAGGATGTAGGCTCTCTGTTCACCTCACAGATTGTTTCTTTTGCTGAGAAGAAACTTTTTAGTTTTATTCCATCCCATTTATTGATTCTTGGTTTTATTTCTTGCTCTATAGGAGTCTTATTAAGGAAGTTGGGGCCTAATTCCACACGATGAAGATTAAGACCTACTTTTTCTTCTATTAGACACAGAGTCTCTGGTTTAATTCCTAGGTCCTTGATCCACTTTGACTTGAGTTTTGTTCATGGTGAGAAATAGGAGCTTAATTTCATTTTGTTGCATATGGATTTCCAGTTTTCCCAGCACCATTTGTTGAAGATGCTATCTATGCTCCATTTTTATGCTATGCCATTCTGTGTGATTGAGTGGATAAAATAAATAGCATCATTGTGTTTGTCCTGTAGGAAGCAACTAGTAAAGTATAAAAATTGTCTTAATCCAATACCATCAATTTTATGGTTACATGGTCTTGATCTCTTTGAATCTCATCTTTCATGTCTATAAGTTAATGATATTATATATGTTATGGTTTAGATGTGGTGTCCCCCAAAATCTCACGCATGAGAGAATCCAAGAAGGTTCAGAGGAGAAACGAATGGGTTGTGAGAATCTCAACCTAATTCGTAAATCAATCCCCTGGAAGGGATTAACTGAGTGGTAACTGAAGTGGTAGGGTGTGACTGGAGGAAGTAGGAATTGGGGGGCGTGGCTTTGGGGTATATATTTGTATCTGGAGAGTAGAGTTTCTCTCTGCTTTCTGATCACCATGTGAGCTGCTTCCCTCTGCCACACTCTTCCGCCATGATGTTCTGCCCCATCTGGAGCCCTAAGGAATGGAGTTGGCCTTCGATGGATGGAAACCTCAGAAACCGTGAGCCCTCAAATAAACTTTTTCTCCTCTACAGTTGTTCCGTCAGGTCTTTTAGTCACACTAGTGGAAAAGCTGACTAAAACAATCTACTTCAAGGAAAGTGTGAATTAGAAAGATGTCTAATGATCACCAGGTGCTAGACATCCAAAGAGGAAGACAGGTGAAAGTTTGTCTGTAGTTTGATTTTCCAAACCTGCTTTGCAGCCCTGGCCGGGCCCTCAGGAAAAGAGGAAGGGGAGTGGAAAGATAGAATTTGGATCCTTTATTTATTTAGTTATTGTGGGGCTGGGGAGTGAACCCAGGGCCTTGTGCATGTGAGGCAAGCACTGTACCAACTGAGCTATATCCCCAGCCCCTATACTTTGCATTATTAATATTTGGATCCTTCTTCTGAGTCCTACATCTTTGTTACCATCTGTTGCTCCCTTCGTTCCCTCATCTCCATAGTATAGAACATTGCTGTCAATATAATTGTTTATTTATATTCCAGGACCAAAGTTAAAGAAGCCCTTAAAACCCAAGGATTAACTTCTTTTGTTCCCTACTATTTTAAAGCACAGGTTTTATGATTAGATGTAGTAAGACCAACAGATCAGAAGATGACTGCCTTGGAAAAGATAATTTCATTATTACAGACCCCAATGGGAGGGAACATGCCACACCAGGGAGGGCTACATGGAAAAGGACCAGAGTCAATTAGGAGGTAGAGGGAACCAGGAGAAAGCCTGGGTAAGAGCCTTTACCATGATTACCAAGAGAAGAGGCAGGTAAGGCAGAGTCAGTGGGCTCTGGGGCACAGGAGCTATCCCTAGTGGTCTTAAAGTGGTTAGGGCAGAACAATAGTGGCCCTGAGTATGAGAGCCCTAATAGAGGAGGCGGTTAGGGTATGGTCTTTGGATTTGCATCTTTGCATTTGAAAGGCTTTCCTTGGAGAATGAGTTGTGTGTTGTCTCTAGGAAATGGCTGACCCTGGAGAAGCAGTCCTTCAGAGTCAGCAAAGGCCCCAGATATCAGAGCATAAGCAGAGAAAATAGATGTCATGATTAACAATGGAAAATTAATAACTGGTCTCCCCATTTGAGAATAAAAGGGAAATATTAGAAAGTATTAATAATGCAAAGTATAGGGGCTGGGGATATAGCTCAGTTGGTACAGTGCTTGCCTCACATGCACAAGGCCCTGGGTTCACTCCCCAGCCCTACAATAACTAACTAAATAAATAAAATAATGCAAAGTACCAACCCACCAAACACTATATATTTTGCAACCTGGCGTTTTGTGAATCATGACCATCCCATGTTATCCAAAATTTTTGTCATTGTTGTTATAGAGGTCCCTTTAATAGGCTTTTTTACAAATGTGCATTTGTAAAAATATTTCAGTTTGGACGCCTAACACCGTAAAACAGAACTCTGAAGCAAATCCTCCATCCATCATTCTGGAAGCCTAACCAGCTTCACGACCCTCCATGATTCCAATGCTGAAGGACTTACCATCAAATTATTCTTTGCATCTCTTGCTATCCAAGAAAATAACTGGAGAGTTTAGTAGTTGGTAAGTCACCTCAGCCTCCTATGGCCCCATCCACCAGTGACCCTTGGCCTTCCATGTTCTTGAACTGATGAAAGAATGTAGCTGTGTTCTCTCAAACAAGTTTGTCTTAACGGGCCCGCTCTGGGGGAAAATGCTCTGTTAAATGCTTTATTTATTTATCCAACACACGTTTATTGAGTGTTGATTATGTGTCAGACACTTTTGTAAGCTTTGAGGATCCAGTAGTGAACGAAATAGACAAAAGCTCCCTTATGGAGCCAGTGGAGAGCTGGCAATAGCCAAAGTGAAAATATATGGCATGTCAGATGGTACAAATGCTGGGGAGCAAAGTGAAGCAGAGAAGGGAGAGATGGGGCTCATGAATTTAAATAAGGGAGTAAGAGAAGGCAACACACAAGAGAAGGCATCTGTGGAGGTGCCATTTTAGCAAAAACTCAAAAAAAGGCTTAAGAGAGGATGGCTGGTTCCCACAGGCAAGTAAATTCTGTGTTGTAATACTAAGTGCATCTCTCAGCCTTTGCCACAATGAACAACAAGCAGAGGTCAGGTTGGCGAGGGTAAAATTAAGGCATATTCTCATTCATCATCACTGCTCTCACCAAGAGTTCCCTCAGCACCTACTGTGTACACTGTACTCCCCTGAGCATCAGGAAAGGCGAAGCTGTGAACATGAACTTCTGAACAGGGATATCCTGGACCACCTGTCCTTTTCAGGGCTTGGCATAAAGCCACGCTGGAATTTAAAGGAACCTGAGATGACTGTGCGTGAGAAGCCTGGCCACAGTTGATTTGCACGAGGTTTGTGGCTGAAGGAGAACAGGTGAGCGGGTTTTCACAGATACGTGGACATAAAGAGAGATGAGAAGGATTTGGTTTTGATGTATTGGGCTGTCTACCTGGATCTATGGAGGTGTTGTGGGGAGGACTCCATTGAGGACTCATTGAGGCTCATTGAGGACTCCAGGGAAAGTTATCAGGTCAGGTCAGGTCACAGGGACACAGCTCCCTTGGCCCTGTCCTCTCCTGTAACATGAATGGCAGCCAAGTACACAGGCCCTCCCCTAATGGAACTCTGAGGAAAATAGACATGACAAAAGATGTGTGTTCCACGCAGAACACTGGAGGGCATTTGTGTTAGCCAGCTCCCATCACTGTGAACAAAACCGCTGACAAGAACAATTTAGAGGAGTAACAGTTGATTTTGGACTCACAGATTCAGAGATCCCAATCCACAGTCAGCTGACTCCATTTCTCCAGGCTTGCAGTGATGGTAGAATATCATGGCAGAAGGGCATGGTGGAGTAAAGCTGCTCAGCTCATGGCAGGCAGGAAGAGGGAAGAGAGAGACAGGGGGAAAGGGTGGGGAGAAAAAGAGGAGGAGGAGGAGGACAACAACAACTAGGGACCAAGTACAATCTCCAAGGACACACCCCCAAGTGACCTACTTCTACCAGCCACATTGCATCTGCCTACAGTTACGACCCAGTAGTCCATTCAAATTATTAATCCATCAAGTGGATTAGCCTGCTGATTAGGTTATTGCTCTTATAATCAAATCATTTCACCTCTGAACATTCTTGCACTGCCTCACGAGCTCTTCCAGGGACACCTCATATCCAAGCCACAACAGCTTTGGCACAACATCCCAAGGATCCCTAGCAATAGCTAAACAGAGCACCGGATAGCCTAAGGAAGACCTGTGGGAAAGCACACATTTGTAGACAGAACCAAGAACCAAGAAGCAAGAATGGCCAATGAAACAGATCCTTGTTATGCATGGGATACTGGAGTCGCTCAGACTGGTTAGCTCTGTGGAAACCAGGCCGATATATATTAGGTTGCAGCCCAGCATTGGAGAAGTAATGTGCAGTCAAATTTTATGGAATTGAAATTAATAATATATCTAGCTTCTCTGGATTTAAAACACAGTGTAGCCAAGGTAAGGGCCGGGGAGATACAGATATTCAGTTTATATGGGGGAAACACTGGGCCCCAGAATATAAATGAACCTGTGAGTTTGGTGCATGGCCACATATAGCTCCAGCTTGTAGCAGAAATTTCACAGATCAGTAGTTATGATCTTGGGTCAGCATCGGAAGGAGCATGAGTCCCATAAACCAGAAAGTCAGACAAAGTTAAGGATCTTTTTATTCTACTGTAAAAATTTGCAGGCTATTTTTACATCCTTCTAGAAACACTGTTGTCATGCCGTCATGAGAAACATCTTTCCACCTCCATACCTGTGGAAGCATTTTGAACATCAGTCAAAATACATTGTGCTTGTGGTTATGCGATGTATCTTTTTATATCATAATAAGAGCTTTCCCCCCCTCTTTATCATTTTTTAAATAGCTGACAACATGATCAAAGTAATCCATTCCTTGCTTTTGCTAAAGAATAAATAAATCAGATGTAAAATCTGAGACTGTGATAACAATTACTCAGTGAGAGCTGAGAACTCCAAGTTTAAAATACCTGATAACAATTATTTCTTGATAGCTTAACACTTAGGAAGAAGCAGCAAGTTTTCAGAAGACTGAATGGAACCCCAATGCAGAGAATGGTTAACAGAGGAGACTGTGTCTTCCCCTTCACTCATCAAGAGGTCAATACCCTGTTGAAATGTGGGGTTGGAACTGCGATGTCATCTAAGCCAGACTTGCAAAGCCACATGCCTGATATCTGAGGTCTGGTATACTTTGTGATGGTGTGAGGTGTTCTCACAGCAGGATTCCATAGTTTTTCCTTTGAATAGGCACAGCCAAGTATGCAGAGAACAATACTGCACTCTAGCGGTCAGAGGTCTGTTTATTTTAATTTTTTTTTTTCCTGATATTGTCAGTGATTCCCGGAACAATCTGCTGCTTAAAAAGTGAAGGAAATGATTGATACAATTTCCTGGATGAAATACAGACCCAAATAATCCAGGTTTTGTTGGACTTGTCTGGGTAATGACAGCTGCGTGGTCTGATCCAGCCTTTGGGGCAGTGAGTCACATTTATTCTATTCATAATTCAGTTTCTTCAATGGCAAATTCAAGATGTTTCTAACTCCATTAAATATGTATGTGATTTTTCATGAGTTAAATGAGTAAAAGATATGTACTTGTTCCCCACAGAGTTGTGATGTGGATTGAGTAAAAGTATATGAAAATAGTTTAAAAGTAGAAAACTCTGAACAAATGTGCTACTAGTGAGGAAAATAAATGTTGAACTGTTATCATTTAAAATACATCTTTAATTCAATTCTGTGTTTTATATTTTTTTCTCAGATATTACAATACACACACACACACACACACACACACAAATAATTGATATCCTGTAATTACCTCTCTTCTAGATCTACTGATAGAGGTCTCATCATGAAGGGAATGCCTTATTGGTAACTAAACTTGGGGGAGTTCGTGTCTTTATATACATGATTCATCCATAGGGATTTTCTTTAAGAACTGAGCCAGGTACTGTGGCACATGCCTGTAATCCCAGTGGTTTAGGAGGCTGAGGCAGGAAATTGCAAGTTCAAAGCCAGCCTCAGCAACTTAGTGAGGCCCTAAGAAACTTAGTGCAACCCTGTCTCAAATAGAAAATAAAAAGGACTGGGGATGTGGCTCAGTGGTTAAGAGCCCCTGGGTTCAATTTCTGGTTAAACTGGAAGGAAGGAAGGAAGGAAGGAAGGAAGGAAGGAAGGGAGGGAGGGAGGGAGGGAAGAAAGAAGGAAGGAAGGATTAAATAACCCACATTTCCAGAGGTGCCTTTGTACAACCATTATTATAAGTAAACCTGTGTTAAATAAAGACAGAAATGGACAATGGAGAGTATAAGCCCTTACTCAGTGAAGGTTTCCCATTAGAGACCACCAATTTTTTAAACCACCTTCAAGGAAATAAAACCGGAAGAAGGGGATGCTCATAAATGGCCACTCAGATTGTCATAGTTTTCACTATAAGAGGATAAAAATTGGGTGGCAATATTTGGGTTCCAATTATATAACATGCTGATGATTATTTTTTCAGCATCCTCAGCAAAATATCAGATTCAGAAACAGAATAAGAGGAAATATAGTCTCATATACTGTGCTATGAGGATGGAATGTGAAGGAACATTTCCAATAAGGGAAATATTAACTTAAAGCAAGGGTTTTTAAATTATTGTTATTATTCCTTATAATGGTCCTGAAGGTACTTACTATCTGGTCTGGCAGATGTTGACACCTGTTTTTTAATTTCATGGTCATGCAAAAATTTAAAATTTAAAAATTTAAAATTTAAAAATTTACAACAGAAGAGGTAGGAAAGATGCTGAGATAACCAAGAGTGGCCAGCTGCTTAATTTGCATATGGAATTAACTTTCACAGTGCTGGCTCAGCACACCCACCCCTGCCCGGTGGACCCTTAAGTACCAAAGCACGAGGACACTGATGTGCTGGTGCATACAGTGCCGAACTGTGGAATTTAGATATTTCCTCCTCTACTGTAGTCTAATTCTTTCATTCTTCATCAACCCATTTCATTAGGCAGTAGTTCTAAAAAAAGGAAAATTTTCAATCACTGAGCCATTTGCTCCTTAAGATGATACAGTTTGTCTTTAATATAAATGTTTCATATGTATTTCAAAAATTACATGTCAGAGTACTTTGTCATCTTAAAACAAATGCATCATGCATATGGATTCATGTGTGTACTTTATACTTTTCTAGCTCAATTCTTTTCTTTTAAAGTTGTGATCTGTACTAGATTTTTTTTGTATGTATGTATAATGTGCATGTCATTCAGAAATGATATTCAAATGTTCAGTGGAGACGGAATGATAGGGCTCAGTCTGAAGGCTTCAAATAGACTCTGTCACATCATGAATCACCAGGGCAAATCAAGTGCCCTCCTGGTTCCCGTTCCTGTTCTTGTCTATTTCGACTGTTTCTGATCCATAGACGGATCACAGTGCCCACATGCCTGGGAGTTGACATCTTCTGCTAAGACTCTGCCTAAGTTCATCCTGCTGTGAACTCAACTTTCACATCAAGGACCAAATTTTGGCCTATGTCCCATGATCCTCTGGGCATCTGACTCGAGCAAGTCCCTGTTTGGGCGATACTATTCCTGTCTTGGCACTGACACACTGTACCGTCTGGGCTAGGATAAGCAGCCAAAATAGGAGAGCTTTGGCAATTATATGGGATCACCATTCTTTTTAGACTGAAGTTGACATATAATCCCAGTAGTTAAAATAAACTAACATCCAGCTATCCACCCATTTGGGGTACAACACAACAAATCTAGAGGCTAGAGGGTACATGTGAAATATATCATCTTAGATAGCGATCAAACTTTACACATACATAAACACACACACACACACACACACACACACACACACACACACAAATTTATGGGGGAATACATTTGGGTTCCTGCTGTTAATGCTGTCAACCTGGAACCTGCAGATCTCATGGAAATGCTGAGCTCAAATAAAGGACCCCAGCACAGAGCTTCTGTGGGTAAAAACTGTTGGTTTCCTGGCCCCAGGAAGAGAACTGCACCCCAGGCCAACTCTGTCAGAAAACAGAATTTGTATCTGTGAATGAGGAATAGAAGGAATAGTTTTCTGTGGACAACTTCTCACCTTTTTAATCTGAAAACTCTTATTCAAAATTCCAGAAATATCTCAAATAATTATACCTCCTCATTACCCTTGTGTTCTTTTTATCCAGACCCATGTTCCCCCACTCCTATTATGGCATTTATCACATTGATTTATGTGTATTTATTCTCTCTAGATTATAAGCTACTGTAGAACAAAGATTGCCCTCATTCTTCTTTTGTTTTGTTTTTGTTTGTTTGTTTTGTGAGATTCCGGGAATCAAATCCAGGGCCTCATACATGTGAGGCAAGTGCTCTGTCATTGAGCTACATCCAATATCCTCATTCATTTCTGTCTCCTTAGCTATATAAGTAGTAATGTGCAAATACAGTTGAGTACCCCTAACCTGAAAAATGACATCCAAAATGTTATAAATCCAAAACTTTCTGAGTGCTGACATGACATCACAGTGAAAAATTCCACATCTGACCTCATGTGACAGGTCTCAGTCAAAACACAGGCACACTGAAAATATTTTCTAAAATTACCTTCAGGCTATCGTAGAGGTGTATATATAAAACATAAGTGAATTTTGTATTTATTTTATATTTTGTATCTTGGGTCTATTCCCCAAGATACCTCACTTATTATATATTTCATATCTTGGTATTTTATTTCAAAATCTGAAAATAATCCAGATTCTGGCTCTAGTCATTTCCAATGAGAGCTGCTCAACCTATAGTAGAACTCCAAATGATTGATGGCAGGTCAGTTAGCAAACCTTTCACTTCTGAATCTTCTAGCAGTATGGAAGCTTAGATCCCTTGACAGGGAGTGAACCAAAAACTTTAGACCACCAATGTTGGATCTCTGAGCATTCGTCTTTGAAGAAAGATCCAGATAACTACAAAATTGTAATCACAATCATCCTTGAGCTTATCTAAAAGCAGAGGTTGGGAGGCAACCAAGTGAAGTCAGCTCTGAAGAGTGGTGAGACATGAGGCCAAGTGGGCAGCAGACTTTCTCTGTGGTGGAACATAGGAGGGGCATGGAAGCAGGCTGATGGTCAGCAAATTTTTAAGGACCGAGTTCAAGCAAGTGCTCCAGGTAGTCTAGAATACTAAGGAGCCTCAGACCCCAGGAGAATTTGCACTTGCCCCCTAGCTTTTCTTTCCAGAAACAAAAACGGGCAAGTCAAGAAATTCTCCAGCCAATAGACTTTGACAAAGGTACAATGCTTATGAGGGAGAAGCTGTTGGCCCTGGGGGTGCGGACTGGGAAACACTCAGGTGCAGGATCCTGTGCCAAACACAAAACCCACCTCTTTTACCCTAGACAAAGAGGCAGGAAATCCTTCTGCCCAAGACTCTAGGAAGCTTCTCAGTCAAAATAGATAGCAGCTGAGAGAAATGACTCTCTATACATGTGTTTTCATGGAAACGTCATTGCCACCACTGCCTCTGAGCACCATGATACTGGAGAAAGTGAAGAGCACCCGGCTGAGGCTTCTGCAGGAATCTAATGCCTCTGCCCTGCCACCAGGCTTGCGACAAAGGCCCAACCTCACCAGTGTCCACACCTCTGTCTAGTGCTACATATTTCCTCCATCTAAATCTCACAGGGGAGATGTGTCACCAGCAGGTCATGTGTTACCTACCTA